AACTCTAAGGACTTTATTATTACTGACCTACTAATCCCTATCCTGTTTTTTACTTATTCAATTAAAATACCTTAAAAAGATGGCATTAATTAGACCATATTAATTAAATTCCAATTCATATGATACTTGAAAAGAAAATGTTCTCATTAACAGAATACATATACTTATAATCCAGACTATTCCCCTTGCTTCTTGAGCTTGCTACCCTTTTCTACGAAAGAACTACATAATTCTAATCAGAAAATAAATGATTATCTTTCATTGCCATTTGCTTGTTGTCATCATTTATCCATATCTCTCCTATTTACTCCTAATTACTAATAAAAGTTCCTTCTTTTTAGAAACTCTAATATGTTAATTTCTCTTCTGTATTTGCTCTTTTCTTCTTACTTTATTTTTCAGGTCCTTTGCCAATACTTCAAATGTGTAAAAATTTTAAGAGCCTCAAGAACAGACCTTGAAATTCTGCATCAGATTAGCAACTGGTCAACCTCTCTCCTATAGAAAACCAAGTTCATCTATTTCATCATTTAAGATGCCACTGATTATCTCCTTCAGGAGGCTGTCCCAAAATAAAATTTCTTACTCATTAAAACTAATTCTTTAAGAAAACTTAGACACAACAACACAACAAGCAATAAATTATACATTTATAGAAGTTTATATGGGATGTGAAGAAACCTTTATAATGGCAAATTCAGATTAAAGATTAAATAGTATCAAAAAATAACAAATCCCTCTGGATTGGTCTGATAAATTTTCAAATAGCAAAAATATAAGGTTGACCTACTATATCTAATTTGATTGTCTGGACTATACTTGGTTTCATTATACAAATTGGCTAAACTTTAGACTCTCAAAAATAGATAAGTCAATTTCAAAAGAATCCTGAACTCTCAAGATTTATCAAAAACAATAACGTGCACATTTTAAACTTCTTTTTGTTCCAAAACCGTTCTAATCATTTAGGTCTAAAAAGAGTGTTTGAGGCCGTGTTCAGTGGCTCATGCCTGTAATCCCAACACTTTGAGAGGCCATGGTTGGAGGATCACTTGAGGCCAGGAGTTTGAGACCAGCCTGCGTCACAGCAAGACCCCATCTCTTAAAAACAAAAAAAAAAACTTTAAAAAAAGGTAGCAGGATGTGATGGCGGGCACCTGTGGTCTTACCAACTCAGGAGGCTGAGGCAGGAGGATCACTTATCACTTGAGCTCAGGAGTTTAAGGTTGCTGTGAACTAGGCTGACACTATAGGATCTAGCCTGAGCAATAGAGCGAGACTCTGCCTCCGAACAAAAAAAAGTCCCATACAAGATGGTTTCACACACAAATTTTACCAGACCTTCAAAGAAGAACTGCTTCCTATACTGCAGAAATTATTCCATAACATCGAAAAGGAAGGAATCTTCCCCAGCTCGTACTACGAAGCCAATATCAGCTTGATACCAAAGCCAGGTAAGAACACAACCAAAAAGAAAACTACAGACCAATATCCCTTACGATAATAGATACAGAATTCTCAACAAAATCCTAGCAAACCGAATTCAGCTACACATCAAAAACATAATCCACCACAACCAAGTAGGCTTCGTACCAGAGATGCAAGGATGGTTCGACATATGGAAATCTATAAATGTAATTTACCACATAAACAGAAGTAAAAACAAAGACCACATGACCCTCTCAATAGATGCAGAAAAAGCATTTAACAAAATTCAGCACCCCTTTTATGATAAGAACGCTTAACAAAATAGGCATAGATGGAACTTACCTCAAAATTATAAAAGCCACGTATGAGAAACTCACAGCCAACATCATACTGAATGGGGAAAAATTGAAAGCATTCCTTCTTAGAATTGTAACCAGACAAGGCTGCCCACTATCTCCACTTCTATTCAGCATAGTGCTGGAAATCCTAGCCACAGCAATCAGACAAGAGAAGGAATGTCCAAATGGGGAAAGAAGAGATCAAACTATTGTTCTTCATTGATATTATCTTATATCTAGAAAACTCCAAAGATTCTGCCAAGAGATTCCTGGAATTGATAAATAAATTCAACAAAGTTTCAGGTTACAAAATCAATGTACACAAACCAGCAGCATTCACAGAGGCCAACAACAGTCAAGCAGAGAAGCAAATCAAAGACTCAATACCTTTCAAAATAGAAACAAAGAAAATAAAATACTTAGCAATATATTTAACTAAGGAGGTGAAAGACCTCTACAGCAAGAACTACAAAACACTGAGGAAGGAAACAGCAGAGGACGTAAACAGATGAAAAAACATGTATCATGTTCATGGATCGGGAAAATAAACATTAAGGTGTCTATATTACCCAAAGTGATCTAAAGATTCAATGCAATCCCCATTAAAATACCAACATCATTTTTCGCAGAAGTAGGAAAAATAGTTCTACACTTTGTATGAAACCAGAAAAGACCCCAAATAGCCAAAACATCCTTAAGCAATAGGAACAAATCAGGAGGCATCACTTTACCAGACTTCTAGCTATACTACAAGTCTACAGTAACCAAAACCGCATGGTACCAACATAAAAACAGAGACATAGACCTATGGATCAGAACAGAGAACCCAGATATAAAACCATCCTCATATTGCTACCTCATCTTTGAAAAAGCAGACAAAAACACACATTGGTGGAAAGAATCCCTATTCAATAAATGGTGCTGGGAAAATTGGATTACATGAAGAAGACTGAAACAGGATCCGAACCTCTCACAAAAATCAACTCATAGTGGATTAACAGACTTAAACCTAAGGCATGAAACTGTAAGAATTCTAGAAGAAAATGTTGGAAAAATTCTATTCATAGACATCAGCCTAGGCAAAGAATTTGTGAAGAAGACCCCAAAGGTACTCACAACAACAACATAAATGGGACCTGATCAAATTAAAAAGCCTCTGCACAGCATAGGAAACTATCATGAGAGCAAACAGACAACCTACAGAATGGGAGAAAATATTCGCATGCTACACATCCGATAAAGGGCTAATAGCTAAAATCCATACAGAATTTAAGAAAATCAGCAAGAAAAAAAACCAAACAACCCCATAAAAAAGTGAGTAAAAGACATGAACAGAACCTTTTTAAAAGAAGATAGACTAATGGCCAATAAATATATGAAAAAATGCTCAACATCTCTAATCATCAGGGAAATGCAAATCAAAACCACAATGAGATATCACCTAACCCCAGTGAGAATGACTTTTATCAAAAAGTCCCAAAACAACAGATGCTGGTGTGGAAGTGGAGAGAAGAAAACACTTATACACTCACTGTTCATGGGACTGCAAACTAGTACAAACTCTATGGAAAACAGTATGGAGATAACTCAAAAAACTAAAAGTAGACCTACCATTTGATCCAGTAATCCCACTATTGGGAATTTACTCAAAGGAAAAAAAGTCATTTTATCATGAAGACATCTACACTAGAATGTTTACAGCAGCACAACTCACAATTGCAAAGATGTAGAATCAACCCAAGTGTCCATCAACATGAGTGGATTAATAAAATGTGGTATATGTATACTATGGAGTACTATGCAGCCATTAAAAAATGGTGAATTAACACTTTTTGTAACAACTTGGATGGAACTAGGGACCATTCTTCTAAGCAAAGTATCACGAGAATGGAAAAACAAACATCACATATACTCATTATTAAACTGGAACTAATCAACACATATGGGCACATGTGTTAGTGAAACCTCAACAGAAACCAAGTAGGTGGGAAGGGGGAGGAGGGGATGGGCAAATTTACACCTAACAGGTACAATGCACACTACCTTGGTGATGAGCACACATGTAACTTTGACTCAAACTGCACAAAAGCAAAACATACAATCAAAACATTTGTACCCCCGTAATATTCTGAAATTTAAAAAAAACCCCTGCAAAACAAAAAGTAAAACAACAACCTAATATTGGTTTTCTATTTCCCAAATCATACATATGTGAGTTAATTCACATAATAAAGGTTGCCAACATTACAGATAATCTGTTGTTTATTATAAAGGGCTCCCCATAGGCAAACAGAAAAACAGTGTGGTCTCACTTGTGAAATATGATTGATTGAAGATTCCATTCTTCGTAGCTGGGATGCCTGGATATCCAGCATCTGCAGGACATTGTTGGCCAAGGTGTTTATTAGATAGGCGACACTTGCTAAGGATTGGGTGGTGTAGGCTTTGGTTTCTTCTAGGGCTCGCTGCTTATCTGCTGACTAAAGGAAAAAAAAACCAATGATTATTAGTTCAAAGATAACCCATTTCTAGCAAACTAACCTACAAAAGTACTCACCAAAATCATTCTGTTGCTACATCTACACAAAGTAAAAAATGTTCTGAAAACTAATTATTGGTATCATGTAAACCCAAAACTGAACTATTGACTGAAGGCACAAATATTTTCATGTTGCACAAAAATACCTTTGTACAAATACAAATAAAACTCTGAAGCTATTATTTGAAAAATAAGATCCAATGGATATTTTGCATAATGGCAGCAAGTATACATCACTTGGAAGGGTAGCACTGATTTGAATGCATAAATTTGGACATTTTTTTCTACTTCCCTGCATTTCTCCTTTCCTTTCACTCTAACATGTGAAATATGGCCATGACATAATGTCTGATTAAAGTAATACTAATGATAAATAAAAGTGGTGATAATGACAGTAAATTAAAAGTAATAAAAGGATCCTTTCTTCCCAAACATTTTAAGTCTTATAACTCTATGGAATGTAAATTACCAAGAATCATAAACCCTACTTGAAAAATGGAGACTACAGAGCAAAAAGTAGTTAACTGACCACTTCCAAAGTCACAGAACAAAGCAATGGTAAAGTTACATATTCTATGCTACTAACTGCCAAACACCATCTTCTTGCCCTAGTTTTATAGAAAGACTCTATGGTTCAGTTGAAAGTACACAGTCTTTGAACCAGAAACCTTTTATGTTAATATCAACACTATCATTTGCTATAATATGTCAACTTGTACAGGAGTCACAGTTCCTCAATTTCCTCAATTATAAAGCAGGAGATAAATTCGTGATTCAACCATTCTGATAAGTTGTAAAGAACAAATAAGATAATGAATGTAAAACCACTTTCTAAAACTATAAATTATATATTTAATATAATTGTGATCTCCTTGAGTGGTCGTTAACTGTCCAAAATTCACTATGCCCCAATCTCTTCCACATAGTATAGAAATCAGAACCAACCCTAGACAGAAATTTTTCCTAGGCTTGGGGGAAGCAAAGGAAGTAAAATTCTTTTGAAGAAGAGACAGTTAACATAATAACCAAATAATACCATTTTAACTTGAAAAGAGTTAAGAATCACTGTCTTTGTTTTTTTCCCTTCTCTATTCTAATCCTTAATAATCAGTTTTATCAAAGCTTAAATTAACAACAGAAATGACACCAAACCTGGTTAAAGACAAATACTTTTACAAAGCAACATACATTCTAGGATTCCGTAACAGCTACTTTCAAGACAGTCACATCTGTTTTAAATTTCATTACTGTTGGCTGAGGCAAATAAAAGATGTTAAAAACTATATTGCCATTAAAGTCGTATATTTATATAAAAATAAAATTGTGCTTATAAATTATACCTATAAATGTTTAATTACTTTTAAAATTTTAACATGAATATCCTACAGCTGAATTTTAACATGAATATCCTACAACTCAATTCTTCTAGTTGATACTTGTCAAAATTTTTCACACTAGGATAGCCTAAGCAGATTATTCAAATAAGCACCACAGACTTTAGTATTTTTATATATAAATTACATGGCATCTAAGAATAACTATGAATGATGCTAGATAATTTTTTCCCAAACAGTTCATTCTCCAAGAACCAGCAGTTCTCTTCAATAATTTTTGTATTTTGTTATTTTCACAGCAATTTATTCACAAAAGTACAAAATTAATATGTTAACATAATCTGAATTATATGGAATAACCAAATGATAACTATTTAATAAGAAACATAAAGCAAACTCAGTACTGCTTTGGAGTTCAACTATGTTAGGCCCAAGCCATGGTACTTCAATTGCAGAATAAATCAATGAGATAAAATAGACAAACTTATATAAATGATGCATTCATACTGTACTGTACAAATGAAAAATTTTAAAGAGGGTTTGCAATTGCTTAAATAGCTTAAAGGAGGGAGCCAAGTCAGCTCAGGCACATCCACAGCACAGACAGGTCCATAACACACTCCATAATAGTCAACAAAGGAGTCTGGGCCAGGCGCCGTGGCTCACGCCTGTAATCCTAGCACTCTGGGAGGCCGAGGCGGGAGGATCGTTTGAGCTCAGGAGTTCGAGACCAGCCTGAGCAAGAGCGAGACCCCGTCTCTACTAAAAATAGACAGAAATTAATCAGACAACTGAAAATACATAGAAAAAATTAGCCGGGCATGGTGGCGCATGCCTGTAGTCCCAGCTACTCGGGAGGCTGAGGCAGAAGGATTGCTTGAACCCAGGAGTTTGAGGTTGCTGTGAGCTAGGCTGACGCCACGGCACTCTAGCCCGGGCAACACAGTGAGACTCTGTCTCAAAAAAAAAAAAACAAAAAAACAAAGGAGTTTGTAAACCCACCACCATGTTCAAATTTCAAATGACAACTCAGTTTTGGCAAAATATCATCTACGACACTACTACTTCTGATTTAAATTTTATTAATTTCATATTTTTGTCTTATTTGTAAATTTATTTTGAATCTATAGTTGTTACATGAGCTTAAATCACCTTAGCTTTAATTGTAAGCAGTTTATATCTAATTTTGTTTGAACATTAAATATTTTTACTGAATTAAGTCAGCACAGAAAGTCAAGTTCTTTCCATTTAAAATTAAGAATTCTGTCCATTAATCAAGTCTAAGAAATACTATGACAGTTTATATCTAAATATTAAAAAACATAAAAAATGCAAATGCAGTCCTATAAGCATTACGATAATAGCCCCAGAAAACATGCAGCCTGAAGGAGATAGGTATTTTTCTGATCTTGATCCCACAGATTAATATTTCATTTCATGAACTGGAAAGAATTAATGATACTCATTTTTGTACAAAATTCATAGACAACTTAGCAATTATTTTTATTAACAGAAGAGGCAAAATTCTGGTCCCATCCTCTCTATAAAAATAACAAAAAATGACAGATAGGAGGAAGTTGTAAGAATCAACGCTACACTGTGTGGTCACTATTTTGTTGTTTAAGAGAGGGGGTCTCATTCTGTCACCTAGGCTGAGTTCAGTGGCATGATCAAAGCTCACTGCTGCAGCCTCAAATTCCTATGCTCACACCATCCTACCCTCTTCAGCCTCTCCAGTAGCTGAGATTACAGGCACCACACACCCAGCTGTGGCCACTGTTACAAAAAAAAAAAAAAAGTTAAAACTTTCATTCAATATAACAAATGTTATAACAGTGTCATGACAAAGAAGCCAAGACAAAATAAGATTTATACACAAGACATTATTCTCAGAGCTGAGAAATTTTAAAACATATCTGCTCTTCAGGACCTACTATGGGAAAAAATTCTCATAAATTACAAAGGTGAATTAAATAAATAAAATGTAGTACAGATGAAAGAGGGGTAACAAGATGTGCAATATGAAGAAGGCAAGTTGAGAACATCAGTGATGGCAAATGTTCAGAGAGATTTTTAACCAAGAAAAAAACTGAATTCTTAACAGACTACACAGATGATTCAGAAAAACAGAAGTAATTCTCACAGATTATTTGTTTTGTATGTATTTATCTTTTACATCAGGTAAACCATTTCGTGACAAGCCTTAAGTAAATGTGTAAAAGATGAACCATATCCCCTGTTAATCTTTTCTTTTTTCTTTTGGAGACAGTGTCTGGCTCTGTCGCCCCGGCTAAAGTGCAGTGGGGTCATCATAGCTCACTGCAACCTTAAACTCCTGGGGCTCAAGTGATCCTCCTGCCTCAGCCTCCCAAGTAGCTGGGACTACAGGTACGTGCCACCATGCCCAGCTAATTTTTTCTATTTTTTGTAGAGATGGGGGTCTTACTCTTGCTCAGGGTGGACCCTATTAATGTTCAAGTGAAAATGTCAGAAAATTTCTACATCATTGGTACTTTGTACCAATAACCAAAACAGGTCCACACTGGGTATACAACTGTTTTACAGGTAAAACATTTTATATATAATATAAACAACCTCTCTGTGTAAACTATATATGTAAATTTTTTAATTTGTAAAAAGCTTATTCTGTCTTGGCTTCTAAGTCATTATACTACAACACTGGAATCAGAACTTATTAATAAATCCAAATAATTTTTTCTTGGCCATTAATTTAACCCCCAACCCATTACCAAAGGGCATCTTGGAGAGGGATGCCACATCCATCAGCATTCAATTAGAGTGTTAAGAAAACACATTTTCAAATTTAGAGCTACCCCTGAAATTCCCCAGTACAGCAATTCTAGAACCACTTCAGCATATGACTGACAAAGGAGCATTCTGATATACCTAAGTCTGACACTATGAAACACTACTCTCTGGTTTTACCAGGCAATAAGATCACTCTTAAAAAAAATACCTCACCACAAAGGTTTCAATATTTTAGTCTCAACTTTCATAATTTCTATTTATAACTTTATCTTAAAACAATAATCAAATAAAAAAAAGGTACAGACAAGGTTGTTCCTTGACATAGTAATGGTCAAAGAGAAAAAAACATGAGACTGATTAAATAATACATTCATATGGTACAGTAATTTATGAAGTATGAGGCAAGGTAATCATATGAGAATGAAGAGAACAGAGGGGTTTTGGGATACGAAAGACAGATGAAGATATTGTTATCTCAGACAGTGAAAAATGAGTACTGCATGAGATTATATATGCCAAGAATTTATAGCATAGAACCTGGCACAATGGCAGAGGTCAATAAATGAGAGTCCCTTATATTATCTGATTTCTAGATGGAGAAAGTTTTCTAAATATAAAGCAATGTTCAAGAAAGACAACTATCTTTCTTGTGTTATATTATAAAATTTTAAAATTATAAAATTAAGCTTCAAAATGTAAGGGGGAAAAAAGGGCATCCAACAGTTAAAGACATATAAATTAGCTGAGCATGCCTGTAATCCTAGCACTTTGAGAAGCCGAAGCAGGAGGATCACTTGAGGCCAGGAGCTTTATTCATAATTGCCAAACTTAGCAGCAA